AGTTCTGGCTGGAGTGGAGGATCGGGTGGGAGGAAGAAGAGAGTTTAGGCCTCTGGGCCAGACATAGGAGGACGCTGTTGGGCAGCAATGACTTAGGACTTTTCTTAAAGATTTTTTAAAAATTATATAATGTGGTTTGGAGTCAGATGTGGGAGGCGAGATGAAGACACCTCATGCTACTGCAGGGGACTTACCCCTTACCCAGCTAAAATTAAGAAAGGGGGAGATGCTCCTAGAAATTCATGCAACTGGCTTTGGGGAGGCCTGAATTATCAGAAATACACTGGGTACCTCGAATCACACGGCACACATTTCTTGACCCATCTTCGCATGCGTGGATGAACTTACATGAACAGTCATACACGATGCACATCACATACAGACATAATCACCTGTGCACACACAAAGATGTACATGTGCCTAAGGAACTTTCCAGGTGTGTAGACACTCTCACAACCACACACAAAAAGTGATTTTGTTTCTGTAATCATTTGTTTCTAAAGAGAGGCATTTATAAGTATATTTTATGCGCTAACATTCTTTTTTTTACAGTGTATGTCAATTTGTAAGCCCAGGTCCCCTAAATGGACTAGGTGTTCCTGGAACTAGGCTTATCTTATTCATTTCTGTACCACAGAGACAAGTCCAGTGCCTGGAAAATAATAGATACCCCCAAAAATGTTTGTTGAGCAAATGCATGAATTAACGAATAATCTTTTTAAAAACCACAAGACTCTTCGATGTTGGAGTTTCTCTAAATCTAGTTTAGTGACTAGTAGTTGTACTCTGCGTGTGTGGTTATATAAGAGAGAACATCTGTATAAATGCGTAAGTGTGTGCCCACTTAGTAGAAAGGCGTGTAGTCAAGGGGACGTGTGTGTCTGTGTGGAGAAGGAGGCAGTGTAGACGAGGGGACATGTGTGTGTCCTTGTGGAGATGAGTAAATGAGCCTGTGTCTGCACGTGCCCGTGAGTGCCAGAGCGTGGGTGAGCATGTAGAAACTGAAGTGGAGTGGCGGTGAGGGGCTGACAGGAGACAGAGCCCTAACCTGTAGGGGGCTTGTACATGTAATGAAGGTGTGAGTCTGCCCGTGTGGGGGTGGGAAGTGCGCTGAGTTTTTGAGCTGTTTTCACAAAGCTCAAGAGACCCCTGTCCCTCAATGGCGGCCCTTCCTCCTACCCACTCTTCAGGACTGGATGCTGAGTGATTCCCCACCATTCTTATCCCAGCCCCACCCCAGGATCCCATGAGGTTCCCAGCCTCCCTGAGCCTGCTGGCCCTGGTGCTACAGGAAGCGAGGCAGGCTTCGCTCCCGGAGAAGGAGAGAAGGAGGAGAGAAGAGCAGCCACAAGCGGCAGGCGATTCTAATGCGGTTCTGCTTCCCGGGGACTATGCCCTGAGCCTGGACAACTATGACGAGGTCATTGACCTGGGCAGCTACCAGGAGCTCACAGACTACGGGGACCAGGCCCCTGAGGTGAGACACGCAGCACTCCGGCTGCATCCCCTGAAAGAGACTGGGAGCCAGGGGCCAGGTCCCTCTAGTGCTCTGTGTGCAGGTGTCTCAAGCCCCCATCTCTTTCTCTAGGAGGAAGAAATTCTTGTCCCTCCATAGGAACTTGTCACTCAGATGGTGCTAAGAAAGAGGACAACAAATCCTCAATTTCTTTGCCCATTCGTAGCAAACTTGGTGAGCCTTTCCTTAGATTTCATACACCCTCCCCCTGCCTTCAAGTAAACCATAAGCCATGTCGCACTGGGGCATCAGCGACGTCCTCATATTCTCCCTAGAAGAAGAAAAGCCACAACCCTCTTCATTCTGAAGGTCTCGCTCAGCTGCTCCTGGCCTTCGCAAGGGCCAATCTGAAGTCTGCACTTGCTTAACGTGTGAGCTTGTTCAGCGCAGGGCACGGGGCAGACTCCAGCCTGGAATCTGGAACTGTGGACTCTAGCTCTGCCACTAGCTTGGCCACCAGCAGGTTCCATGATCCCAGTGCCTCCCACCTATGGGCCCCAGTTTCCCCATCCATGTAACCACTCTGTTGGACCAGATGCTCTCCGAGAAAGTCCCTTCCTTGCTCACTCTGTCTGTTATCCCTTCCTCCTTCTCTACGGTGACTCTTTGCAAATTTGAAATTGGTCACTGAGGTTCCCAGAGTCCAAAATTAAGTACCTCTCAGGCAAAAAGTGACTTAAACCATGTGCTATGGGCTATGTCCACAGGTTAAAGGGACCAGCCTGGCTCCTCCAAACGGGATCAGCTCCACTCAGAGCACAGTGGCTCCAAGGACACCCTCTTCCAACGCGACAGTGACCAGGCCTGCTATGCTGGGCCTGCCGGTTTCCCCAACCAGCCACAGTAAGTTCACTCCACAGGTCTCGGTAGCCATAGGTCATAGGCCACACAGCCACGACCCGGAGCCAGGGGCACCGAGGTAGAGTACGGTCATGGCTAGGGAGTAGAGGGTCAGAGAGAGGAGGGGAAACAGCCATGGTAAGAACAGAAAAAAAAGAAAAAAAAAAAAATCAAAGGGAGAGCTGGCTGTCACTAATGTTTCTGCCTGAATGTACAAATTGGATAGGAAGCTGAGAAGTGCCAGAGCTCTGCTATGCCTAGCGAAGCCACCCTACCTTAATTAACAGCGTCACTGGGGGAGGAGGCTGAGTGGTAATTAGATTAGAGACAATTAAAAGCCTGTAGAGAAGAATAAATAACTTTGTGGCTGTCACTTGGCATGGGGGCACATGAAGCAGTCATACTGCTTTTCAGCTTTTAAAACCCTGCTGAGCAGCCCCTCCCACTCCCAGATGCCCTCCTGGAGACTGGGATGCTGACACCTCTGGCAGTAAGGGGCTGGCACTCTGCTGGGAGTCGGAACTGAGGCGGAGGAGGGATGCATTTATTCCCAACTTGCTTGCCTTCAGTCCCTGTCCTCATCTTGAGATGCTTTCCTCCGGTGGCTCTAGAATATTGGGCCTCAGCAGATAAAACCCTTCAGTCAGGAATCCATGACCTCTCAGAGCTACAGAATCCCAGCCTCAAAGGGGCAATAAAGGCCTCAGCTGGACCTGCCATTCAAGGCCGTGGAATAAGAAGGGTGCTGGGGCGCTCTCTGCTCCACCTACACTGTCCCGTCACTGCTGGTGAGAAGAGCTGCCTCTTAACCGTGAGGCTGTGTCGCTGCTGACAGAGCCCCCTGGCACTGGACTAGCATGTGGTCTCCCATAATCTCTGTCCCTTGTAACAGCAAGTAACGGAAACTGCCCACACCATTGAGTTGTACGAGCCAGTAAGGTCTTCCTGACTTTTTAAAGCCAATCTGAGTTCGATGGCCTGGCCTAACTCTCATGACCACTGGCCGTGGACTGAGAACACTGAAGGGCTGTTTCCCAATGGAAAACTGGGATGCTGGCACTGTAAGAAAGGTAAATTAATTCTGGGCGAGCATCGTCCACTCCACCTTGGCTCTATTATGCTTCTGGGAGCCACACGCAGCTTGTCTAACTTGTTGCCCACAAGGCAGCTGGGAGGACCAGCAACCATCGACCATTCCACTTAATTCTGGCTTTATTTCACCTTCATTGCACCTTGAACCAGAGAGGATGCCTATGGAAGAGATTAATGGATGTCCTAGAAACACCCACATAGGCCCAGGAAAACCTGCACAGGCCCAGGGTCTGATGAGAGCACTAATAGGTTAGGACAGGATAGTAACCGAGGGTGGATCTGGGAGCAGCCAACAATAGTGCCTGGGTGCACTGTGGCCTTCGGTAGCGGGCAGCAGCCTGAGAGGACGCAGATGGCCCTGGCTCAGATACTCCTTGAGGCGAGGGCTGTTGGTCCCGGAGGCTGAAGCGAGTCTGACGGGGTGGGGGCGTCTCCCTTTGTTCTGTCTTCCTCCGAGCCAGGCCTGCCCACCTGTCTGGTCTGCGTGTGCCTTGGTTCCTCCGTGTACTGCGACGATGCTGACCTAGAGAGCATCCCTTGTCTTCCCCAGACAACGGCCTACCTCTACGCCCGCTTCAACAGCATCCGCCGCATCCGGGCTAGAGACTTCAAAGGGCTGAGTATGCAAGGCCTTGGCAGGAGAGGAGCGCCGGCCGGCAGAGGGAACCCCCGGGCCCCTCCCTCGCCACCTGCTGTGTGACGTCACCAGACACAGTGTCCCACATTCATTAGCCTTTCCCCATTGGATTTCGATCTCTCCAGCTATCAAATAGATACAACCCAAGTCTCTCTAATTACCTTCTTTGACGATTTTAGATGGCAGATGTGGCCTATTCTCCCATTTATTCTCCCAAAAGCTGGGAGCTGGGAAGGGGCAAGATATGATCGAGGCTACATTTTCAGAATGTCCCAGGAACTGTAGCTCTGTACCCTCCTGGCCTCTGGACAAGACCATGCTAAGTCTACTCTGTTCGTTTGCTTGCTTTGCTCCTTTATGCCTTATACCCTGCCTAAGATAGGAGATCTGGGCTCTAATCCAGATTCTGTACTAATTACCACAGCCTTCCAGGCCTCAGTGGTGGAGGACGGGGGTGGGATGGATCCAGGGGTAGATTCCTGGGCCTGTTGGGTCTTGCCCTCAGAAGGTGTCTACCAAAATGATCCAAGGGAGATAGATAGACAGCACACAGAGCAGAGCTCCAGGGAAAAGTGCTGCAGAATCTGAGGGCTTTTCCAGGGAGTCCTGGTTTTTAACATTATTTCTTCTGGTGCGGACCTGGTGCAGGTGGGGAACTGGCTAGCATTCCCTGTCTTGAGAGGGCTGGAGCATGGTGGGGCGGCTCCCGCAGGGCAGGAAAAGATGGTGTGTCCTGTGTCTCTCTGGTCTCCCTCGCACCCCTCAGCAAAACTGAAAAAGATTGACCTCTCCAGCAACTTCATCTCCACCATCGACGACGACGCCCTCTACCTGCTGCCTGCTCTGCAGGCTCTGATCCTCCCAGAGAACCGGCTGACAGCTCTGCCCAGGCTGCCTACGGGCATCGAAGTCCTGGACGTCCGCCTGAATCTGCTCCAGAGCTCGGGGATACAGCCTGGAGCCTTCAGGGTGAGCCAGGGCCTTCGATCGATCCACAATCGATCACCTGCCACCCACAGCCACAGCCACAGCCACACACACACCACCCCCACTCCCACCCCCCACACACACACCCCTTGCCCTCATGGGGTAGCCCTGCTCCAGCCCTGTTCTGGGGTCTGAAAATCAAACCTATTTTTTCATCTGTTCCCATTTGTTTTATTAAAGGTCTTTTTATTGCAAGAACCTGATTTCACAAAGGAAAAGAGTATTTACAACACACCATCCCAAGAACCTCTGTGAAAGGAAACTCAGGCCTCTTGGGCCTGTTACTGGGGGTGGTGTCAGAAACCAGGATCGGTGACTCTCCCTCTCCCTCTTTGGGACACAGTTTCTTGGCTTCCTTCTGTGCACCTGCTCTGTTCCCCTCTGTACACCAGCGTCCTCTGCACACACAGCTTCTGCTCCCCTGAAACTTTGGCTTACACATGACTTGCAATAGTGCTGGCTTCCGCCCTAACTCTACAACTCCTTCCATTTCCAAAATCCACCACTAACTGACTAATTACTATCTTTCTATGATCAAATTCTCAAGAGAGACCATCTGCTTGGTCATTGGCTAACCAGTTTTGACGGGAAAGACTAACATATGGCACTAATATGGCCTGCAGCTGCCCACTCTACAGAGCTGGGAAGATTCTGGGGTTTAGTTCCTACGAAGAAATGGAGAGGGGTGCAGACAACATTGCCACCCAGCTCTGTCTCATTCTGCTGATCTGGGCACTTTCTGAGCGTGCTCTCCACAGCTGCTCCAGGTTTAGCATTTGGAGACTGTTCGTTCTGGAAAATCCCTTCTCATAGCAGAGAGGTCGAGGCTGGACTGAGATGTCCATTTGTCCTTCCTCCCTCCCTGTCCCCCTCTTCCCCACTCTACGTTAACAGCTGACAGCTCCTGTGTACTCCCCCAGTGGGAGTGAGTGCTACGAGCTGATAGGAGCCTAGGCACACCCTGTCACATCCGGCATGAACCTCAGTGCATGGCTGGGGTTCAGGAGGCCTTGAGTGAATGAATGGGGTCATGTCAGGCACTCTTTTCTGCCCGGGTCCTCCAGCCCCTGCCAGGCTCCCACACCTTTTCTCTACCCGCCGCCCCCCACCCCACCTCCAGGCCTTGGAGAAGCTGCAGTTCCTCTACCTGGCCGACAACCTGCTGGACTTCATCCCTGGGCCTCTGCCCCTGAGCCTGCGCTCGCTACACCTGCAGGTGAGTGGCCTCCCCAAGAGCATGGCACAGAGCACAGAGGGCAGCGGTCAGATACACGGAACACCCTTAGGCAGCTGTGGGGTTTTCTCTACTGAGACCTTATCGGAGACACGAATGAGTCAGTCTTGTCCACAGCCTCAGTTTGATTTCCTCCCTTTTCTTCTCTTTAAAACAGCCCCTTCTCCCTTCACATCCTTATCCCACCACACCTGACTCCTGTTCCTTTGTTCTTTCCCGGTCTCTTCCTCTTTTCTTCATCCCTCTGTCTCCGCCCAGCCTCCATCGGTCCCCTCTTCTCACCCCTCGTTGGGTGGTCTTGGCCTTAGGTACCTTGGTTTCTCCAGTTGTAAAGGGGAGCAGAGCTGGTGTGGATATCTGATTCAACCTTCAGTGCAGCCATTGGTGTATTCTTTCCAGAATAATAGGATAGAGACCATGCAGAAAGACACCTTCTGTGACCCCGAGGAGCACAAGCACACACGGAGGCCGCTGGAAGACATCCGCCTCGACAGCAACCCCATCAACCTGAGCCTCTTCTCCAGCGCCTACTTCTGCCTGCCACGGCTCCCCATAGGCCGCTTCTCCTAATGCACCCCTTCCTCTCCTCCCGGGTGGAGCCCTTGGAGGACCACCAAAGCATGGCCTCCAGCCATAGGACCCAGCCCCTACCTCCAAATGCCTTTCTTCCAGGTGTTAATCAGCCTCATTATCTAGTTGTAGAAATCAACTCCCCACCCCCAACACACACTCTAAATGTGCTTCAGAAGCCAAGTTTGCATTTCTTCATCCTCTTTCCTTAACACCTTATGGTTCCTGGTTCAGAGAATAGCAGCCTCTGCAGCAAAGCTCTTTCCCATATTACCCACCCCTCCTGCCCACACAGAATGCCAGGGAGGTCGCAGGAGAGGAAGAGGAGGAGGAGAGAGCGAAGAAGCAGGGGCAGGAGCAGTGGTGTGCCGGAGCCAGCTCTTACTGCTAGGTTTGCAAGAACCAATTATTAAAATTTGCGGAATTTCGCAAGCCAGTTGTTAAACACTGCCATTATTAAAAATTAAATTACATAAACGCAATTAAATGTATTATGTTGAAAGCAAATATAATACATACTCAAACTCATCGTTTCCCAATTATTTTACTATATTTTACTATTAGCCATGTTCTTGAACTGATTTATGCCCATGGGGCCTGTATGGTAGAAACGCTATATACTGACATACAAACACTGCTCGTCTCTTCCCAACTCTGCTTGCAGTGACACCAAACAGGTAGTTTGAAATGGGCCATGGTGGAAATATTTATACCGTGGGTAAACGCTACGCATTGGAATTTTTTGGGGAGGGAGGGGTGGAGAGCTGGTTGTTAAGTATTTGCGGCACTCCACTGAGGAGGAAGAACAGCTATTTCAATTAGCCTTCTCCCAACCCCCAGGCGCCCCACTGGGGGAAGGGTGGGCTTTCTGCGGAGCTTTCTTTAATTACTTGCTCTTCCTAGGCCAGGGCTTCCTGTTGGATTGGGAGGCAGCCATTCATAAGAACGGAGAACTGACGTGACTCTTCACCTGGGTGCCCTCCTTGCAGTGCTCACCTGTTCCAGGTTCACCTGCCAGCCTCTGAGCAGGGCTTAGCCAGCCATTTCCTGGCCCTGGGGGTTTCCGTTCTTTCCACGCTCTCTTCCGTGTTTAACCACCAGAGGGCAGCCTTGCAAAGATAAATAAAATGCGTAGCAGCGCAGTTACTCTGGTGTGTCACACGTTGACAGTGTGCAACATGCCCTCCTTTTCCACATGGAGCGTAGAGTCTGGTGCGGAAGACGTGTTAAACGAGCAACCACACAAATAATCACGCTATTCTACTCATAGTAAATGCCACAGAATGGATATGCAGAACGCCATGAGAACTTAGAGGAGAGGGCCCAACCTAAGGGTTCAGGACACCTCAGAGAATCACGCCTAAGCTGAAACCTGAAGAAGCCATAGGAGTTAGCCAGGACCTCGGTTGCCAAGGTAACCACTCAAGGTTGCAGGTGGTTCCTGAGTATGGACAGACAGGGGTGTCTTGCCCACACGGGAAGGAACCCACTCCCCTGCCTCTGTCTAGCACTTCTCCACACGCTTTGGATCCTCAGACAGTCCAGTAAGCAGACAAGCCAAGGATTAGTCACATTCCTCAAAGGAAGACATCAAGAAATTGCGAAGATCTAGCACTTCCCTCAGCTCCCATGTGGCTGGCTGAGGCTTAGACCAAACCTTAGCACATAGACTGCCACCCGGAAAGAGGACATCTTCGAGGCTGTGCGAGGTGTCCTCACGTGGCTGCTGTGGTGCCCGCCCTCCCGGAGGTCCGAAGATTCCAGGACCCCCGGCCCAGGGGAGGGCGGCCAGGGCAGTCAGCCAGCACCTCCTTGTCTTTCAGAACAGTGGAGGACAGTAGAATTTCATGGCAGTTAAGTTCCCGCCTGCTCTGTTCCTCTTTCTGTCTTCAAAGGG